TACTCCATGTACCCTGTGTGCAGATCCAGGTAACCGAGCATCAGAGTGAGAGCTTCCAACACTCTCAGAGTCTTATCCAGAGATCGCAAGGTAGTTGTACGGCATTCGCAGCCCTGCCTTCCTCCTTCCTATCCTAGTACTTTATATTTCAGACTTGTTTTGTATTAAGCAGACAGTGTTGAGTTGTATTTAGTGGCTCATGACTAGTGACACCATATTCAGACTGTGTTGATGTATTTTCGTACTTGTTTTCGCGTATTTCTATTGATATTTTAAAATGAAACAATTGAGACTTAATATGTTTAGAAAAGTAAATTTTACAAAAGATCTTCCATATGGTTTGTGTTGTTTTGGCTGGTCTAGTACTGTAATGGGCACCATCACGACCAGAGTATTTGGGGTCGTGCCAGTAGAAAACTCAATCATATCAAGAACGATTTATACTCAGTGAATATAAGGACATAAGAACCCTAAAAGGCCAACTTTCCACAAATAAGTCTGAGCACACACTCATCACCTCGCGTACACGAACTACAATTATCATAAAAGACTCAAATCCTAAGAAAAAATCCCCACACAAAGTTAGGCAAGATACTTACCACAAAGAAGACAAACTGATACTCTAAAATGAACTTCTTAGGTTCAAAGACCTCCGGAAGGCTCAAATCTAATAAAAAATAACTTCAAAGCACAAATAAAACTCATAAGAAACTATTACGGATCATAAAGTCTCTAAAATCCAAAAAATCGGTTCCAAAGTTGACCTACGGGCCCACACCTCGAAACCTGACAAATTTTACAAAACCCGAACACCCATTCCGATACGAGTTCAACCATACAAAAATTATCAAATTCCGACACCATTTCGTCCCTCAAATCATGATTTTTCATTTAGAAAACTTTCTTCAAAAACCAACATTTTCCTCAATTCAAAACACAAATTAAATGATAAAAATAAAGATAAAATCATGAAATATATGAAATTCTAGGTGAAGAACACTTATCCAATCAATTTGCTTGAAAACCCCACAAAGAATCACTCAAAACCGAGCTCCACAAGTCAAAATATGATAGAAATGGTCTAACCCTAGATTTGGAAAACTTATATGCTGCCCAGATGTTAAAGCATCGCGAACGCAGAGAAAGGATCGCATTCGGGAAGAAGAAAAAATGAAAGCTGCCCAGTTGTGATTCGCGAATGCAACAACACGTTCGCGAACGCGAAGAAGAAAAGTCTGATGCCCCAATGGCTACTCTTCGCGAAAGCGTGAAGTAGTACGCGAACGCGAAGGGTGGAATGGCATAACTACAAGAACGCGTGAGATGAACACGAGCGCGATGAAGGAAAAAACGGTCCTTTGCGAACGCGAGAGAATGTATGTGAACGCGAAGAAGAAATTTAGGGTGGTTAGCAGAAGCACTTAGTGAACGCGAAAGGCACTTCGCGATTGCGAAAAAGGACACAAGAAAACAGGATCAGCAATTTAAAAATAGGAGGAATTGACCCGTAGCCTAGCCGGAACACACTCGAGGCCCCCGGGACCCCGTCTAAACACACAAACACGTTCTATAACCTAACACGGATTTGCTCGGGGTCTCAAATCATATCAAATAACGATGAAAATACAAATCGCGCCATGAATCGAACTATGAACTTCCAAATCTTCCAACTTCGAAAACTCATGTCGAAATCAATCAAATCAACCCGGAATAATGCCAAATTTTGCAGACAAGTCCCAAATGACATAACAAAGCTGCTACAACTATCGGAATCACATTCTGACCCATTATCACAAAAGTCAACTATGGGTCAAACTTCTCCTTTTTTTCCTAACTTCAACTTTTCCAACTTTCGCCGAAATGCTCCAAATTACCCTACGGACCTCCAAATCCGAATCCGGATGCGCGCCTAAGTCTAAAATCACCATACAAAGCCGTTGACATCTCAAAATGCATTCTGAAGCCATTTACACAAAGTTAAATTCCGATCAAATTCTTACCGCTTAAGCTTCCAAAACTAGATTTCTTCTTCCAATTCGACTCTGAATCATTCAGTAACTGAATTCAACCACGCACGTAAGTCGATACATATAATATGAAGTTGCTCAAGACCTTATGCCGCTGAACGGAAGTTAAATTCTCAAAACGACCGGCCGGGTCGTTACACTAGTCTTCTGCTGATTAAAATAAGTGATTTAGAGGTCAATAATTGTGGATTTGGCCACAGGTTAGTCTGATTTGCAGTTGAGGACCTAAGTGAAGTTTTACTTCTGTTTGTAGCTATTAGGCATACGGTAGAATTGGAATCATTGTAAAGGTTAACCAAAGCTGTATTCTTCAATGGAGTATGAATATTATAATTTTAAGCACAAGATGATGTAGTCTATACTTGGCAGTGTAGTTATTTGGGTGACTATACATGCAAATCACGAATATTTTTACTGATATAAGTTTATCATTAAAATCATTTATTTATTTTGTTGAGTTATAATATTGTCATCCAGTTGTTGAATGATATTGTTGGCTTTTGAAAATACAAAGCGCGTAGGGATTTCCCAGAAGTTCTGAGCCCAGTTAGTCACGATTTTTCAAGTAGCCGTTTTCCAAACTTATTAGTCTCAAATGATGGATTAATTAACTGAAGTTCGAATTCATTGATTTTTATGTCAAGTGACCTTAGAATTATCTTAATCTTTCCACATTTCATCCACAATGGTTCTCCATAATTCATATGACCTTGCAATACATCTCAAAGCAGTATTAGGAATTAACTACTCTCAAATATTCATAGTTTGCTTTAGGTACGATTAATAATAAATTATCATAATTATGAGTACGGTTTTCGTGGCATAGTCAAGATACGTAAATCCCAATTTGAGTGCGCATTCACGTGATTTGGCAACAACTTCAAATAATTAAAAATAAACATATTGTGAATCACATATACATTTTACGTGGTGGGATTCATGATGTGTACAAAAATAGCAAGTGCGTGACATCGCGACTTGTTTAAATAAATTCATAATTATTAAAAAATAATTAAAAGCGGTTAGAAAGTTTGAAAAATGCACTTAAGTCTTAAAACGTGTAGTAAGTCAGATTAATAAGTCAAGTATAAATTGTTAAGTGACCGTACTAAAACCACGGAACTCGGGAGTGTCTCACACCTTCTCCTGGGTTAACAGGATTCCTTGCCCTATTTTCTATATTTCCGGACCATAAATAGAGTCAATTTCCTCAATTTGAGATTTTAAAATAAACCAGTGACTTGGGACACCATAATAATTATCTCAAGTGATGACTTTAAATTAAATAACTAATCCCATTTCAAATAATGTCATTTTAATTGAAAAAACTTCCTTATCTTCGGAAAAAAGAGGCGTGACAATAATTACTGTAAGTAAAAATGCATTAGTGATATTCTTAAGACCAATTGATTATCATATACATTGAAAATATACTAAGTAAAAGTGTATTAATTGTACTTAGCTTGTAGATTGATAATTACGCTAAGTATAAGTGTATTAATAATATATCTGTAAGTAATGTTAGTGATTGATTAGCTTATATACATTGATAATAGCACTAAGTATTAGTGAACTAGTGGCACCCTTATATAAGTAACACTAGTGATTGATTAGCCTATATATTGATAATTATACACTAAATGGAAGTATATTAATGGTAGCTGTGACAAATGTTAGTGATTGTTTATCATTAAATTGATAATTAAAGTAAGTAAAGGTATATTAGTGTTATTGTTAAGTAATGTTAACAATTGATTAGCCTATACATTTGTAGACATGTAATTTTTGATCCTCCCCAAAATTTTACACCTTTTTAGTATTTAAATGTCTGTTTAGGTCTAATATTGTTATTTTGACTACTTTTAACTTCTTTTTTCTGATTTATTTACCTTAAAATGATATCTACAAAAAATATTTTCCTTTATTTTAGCTAATTAATATTTTATCTAGTTACTTTTAGTTTTTACTCTTCCTAACATTGAAAAAATACTAAAATAGTCTTATTTTTTCAAAAGATAAGAAGAAAAGTTTCAAAAAAATATCTTTTTATTTTAGTTTAGTAGTATTTAAATTCTTTAATATAGTTACTTTGTCATTCTTTTATATTTCCTGTTATTACGTATCTTACTATTTTTTGATTTAGTAGAAATAGTATTTACTTTATTTACTATCATTAATAAAAAGAGAAAAAGGATAAGAATTAATCAAATGGTGCCATCTCACTTTTGTCTTGTTTGAAAACATGCTTCGTTACCCTTTCTTTCCAATCAATTCATGGTAATTTGCCAATTTTGTTTTGTTCTGTTCTTCTTACTACCAGTAGGGGAAGTCCGTCAACATAATATTATGCCAAACAAAGTAAAATTACAGAGAATCGTTAATGTTCAAACTAAATACAGCACCAGCATCGAATCCAACACCGACTGAAGGGTAAAGCAGTCCAAGTTGTGGCTTTAGGCCCCATTATGAATTAATTTTTTATATACAAAATTAAAGTTAAAAAGGAAAAAAAATTACCAAAAGGAAATTCTTTTTTAATTTGTTACTGATATTGACCCTTGAGTTTGAATAATTGAAACGTATAAAAATATTTTTAATTTTTTATTTAGTGGATAAAAATTGAGATCGGATGATAAAAATCTAACAAATATTAACTTAGCCTTGATTAGAACATAATAGTCACTCCGATATGATAATTTAGACTTATTTTTTAAATTATATAGCGTGAAAGGAAATATCAAGTAGAAGATAAGACTCTAATCGATATACTTAATAAGATAACAAGACTTCATTTTTTTTCTAATGCCTATATTCCTTATAGAATAAAGTATTACTATAACAATTGCAACCAGGGAAAGCATTTTTTTCAAATTAAGATTGACAAAATCTTGTATAAGATCAATAATGTCTCACGAGGATCTAAATAGATCAGAAGCAGTATTATTAGTTAAAAATGAATTATTAGAATAACTCTATTTTAAGAAAACTATTAATAATATCTAAAAAAGTTAGGAAAATACACTTCAATCAAATAAAAAATTAAGGCCTCTCATCAAAATTTTGCTTTAGGCCACCAACAATATTGAGCCGCCGATCAAATCTAACAAATTGCAAAGAAACATACTATGAAGAGCTAATTTACAAAAAGATCTAACAGTTTTGAGGCTGCACCTGCAGTAAAAGTAACAGTTTAAAAGTTAGAAAACATAAGGAAACTTATGGAGGGATATCTGGCAGTTTTTTAATAATAAGGATAAAAGCACGTCAGAAGAGTTTATTCAGAGGAAGATTTATCAATTAGATTGACTTTATTTGAATGTTCTTATAGGATGGTTAAATTTTGAAAGGCAAATGGCGTAAAATTAATTTGATTGAGCCTATATCAATTCAAAACCTCAGTTAGAATCCCTCTGGCTTGCAAATAATTCATATAGATATACAATATGCATGCATTTATCGGATAGAATAAGACCAATTCAGTTCAGCACACCAATAAAATTCGAGGAGCAAATGGGAATATATACAAATTCAATTTTCCAATGCAGATGTTTTTCTATGGTGTGACATATGGATTCATGTGAATTCAGTAGCATATATATACACACTAAATATAATCTTGATCAGAGAAAGTTTACAGAATCCTATTCATCTTCCTTAATATGTACTCAATGCCTTCCTATTATTTCAGAAATATTTGGACAAAAGAAGCATTACACAACACTTTTGCATTAAGAATTCAATTTTTAACTAGTTAGCACAAGTACACACCTTTGGGAGTAATTCATTTCCAGTAGTGAAGACTTCATGTTTTTCGAGTTATTCACAATATAGCTGGTAGTGAACCGTATTTTTAGCCAGAAGATCAATGGTCAGTAAAAATCGCTAACATGACGCACGCAACTCTTTCCAAAAATCATAGCATAGGGAGATTTTGATGTACCCTGAAATAGAAGGTAAATAACAGTCAATTAAAGAAACTGGAGTCGAGAGAAGCAGAAAAATAAAGTTAAAGCTCATAGCAAGATCTTTAGCGAGGATAAACACCTGCAGGTATCTTGAAATTCAGTTCCTTCAATAGAGTGTTAGTCCGTATACAAAAGAGCACTGCATACATAGAGTTTGTGAAAATTTAGGAAAACACATCTAAAATATTGTCATTTGCATAAATTTGGCTGGAGATTGCCTAAGTAGTACAGTTGACATTTGTGGAGGATAATGGTATACCATATGACGGGGTTTTTTCTAAGACCTAAAAAGTATCACACTTTGGTGAAAATTCAAAGAGTTATGCTAAACATAAGTACAGTAACAGAGAAGACATTGGAAGAAATAGAAAGGTGCATGCAATACAGTTGATGGATGTCGCAGTTAGAATTTGTTAATTGATCTAAGTGGGAGAATTATTTACCTAGACTCCAAATGGCTTAGGAAATTTGCAGGCCCGATAAAATCACATATTCCAAACAATCAAGAACATATATGTCTTGTGGTAAAACAAAATTACAAAAGAACATATGAGAATCTTCTTTGGTAAAATATTTGTGCAGAAAATTGTAGAAGAGGATAAACTTTTTAAAGATTTCCTAAATGCTTGAATTATCAGTGTAATGAAAGCACAAAAAAATGACAGTTGATTTAGCATGTCTACTAAAGATTTCATCTTTCCTCATTTTAAAAGGTGGCATGGAATAATCTGCGTGATCTTAGGAATATGTTACAGTAGTTCCTTTACCAAATTTCAGAATATGAAGTACACATCAGTGTAACCCAAATCAATATTGCATTCACACATGACAGCAGAGGCCAAAAGACAAAACACATTATCGAAATAGCACTTTCTTATCTAGCATAACGACACTTCAAATACTAACATTTTATAAATCTCAGAACTCATAGAAATAAGAAACGTCAAATTTAAGTAGATGGAAATATCTACTTAGATCAATTAATCTTATGTGGTTAAGGGGAAAGTTATTTATAGGAATTTATCAGAAAGTGATAAATTGTTCTACCTGAAAATCTAGAACATTGAGGCAGCAAAACCAGTGCATGATCGTAAAGTATTTTGTGCAGTAACGAAAAAGCCCAAAATCCCAAAATAAGTTGCTACTTCCTATTCGCAAGTAGAAGTGGGAGGAAATAAGCAAATGTAAGAAACATTATGTTTGAATCAAAGAAATTTAGAATCTATGAGAAAGAATCAAATCTCAAGTACAGATACGCAACCAAGGGCGGCTCAATATTGTTGGTGGCCTAAAGCAAAATTTTGATGAGAGGCCTTAATTTTTTATTTGATTGAAGTGTATTTTCCTAACTTTTTTAGATGCAAAATTATTAATAGTTTTCTTAAAATCGAGTTATTCTATTAATTCATTTTCAACTAATAATACTGCTAATCTGATCTATTTAGATCCTCGTGAGACTTTATTAATCTTATACAAGATTTTGTCAATTTTAATTTAAAAACAATTCTTTCCCCGGTTGCAATTGTTATAGTAATACTTTATTCTATAAGGAATATAGGCAATAGAAAAAAATGAAGTCTTGTTATCTTATTAAGTATATCGATTAGAGTCTTATCTTCTACTTGTAATATTTCCTTTCACGCTATATAATTTGAAAAATAAGCCTAAATTATCATATCGGAGTGGCTATTATGTTCTTATCAAGGCTAAGTCAATATTTGTTAGATTTTTATCATCCGATCTCAATTTTTACCCACTAAATAAAAAATTAAAAATATTCTTATACGCTTCGAATTATTCAAACTCAAGGGTCAATATCAGTAACAAATTAAAATTTTCTTTTCGTTTTGGTAATTATTTTTACTTTTCAACTTTAATTTTGTATATAAAAAATTAATTCATAAAATTACTACTAATGAAAGATGGGGCCCCCAAAATTTGGGGGCCTAAAGCCACAGCTTGGGCTGCTTTACCCTTCAGCCGGCGTTGTACGCAACGAGACATGCCTTTTACTTTCTTTTTGATGGTGTGGATGGTTCTAATTTCAGCCCGACATGGGAATAATCAGATACCACAACTGTTGTTTCAGTTTCTATTTCAGTTGACCGGAGAGGTTTAACCTTATTTTTGTTCCTCTCACCAATGTTGGGTTGAAAGATGTGCTCCTTTTCGACATAGGATGAAACGGATAGACTTACATGCATGCTGCTATAACCTTTCCAGGATGATTTTCTCAATTGAATGCGAAACATTCTGTCTGAAAGCTTGTTTTGGACATGCTTAATGTCTCAATTGAGTTGCCTCTGGAAGTAGAAGATGTCAATCCTTAAGGCTAAATTTTAGTTATTACTTCATCTCTCATAGCTTTTGATTCGATTTCCAAAATTTTCATTTACTTTTTCTTTTCACCTCTTCCGTACCTGTGATTTAGGGTTAATTTTTTCGTTTTTCTTTATTTGTTCTTTTTATTGCACTAATTCCTTGGCGATGAATTTTGATGGATATCTGCTAATTAGTTTTTCTCTTATTTTAAAAAATTATGGTTCATGTTTTACGTGCATATCACTATTTTTACCTCTTTTCTTCACATAGATGTATGAAAATAAATACTTAGGTGCATGGTGTGTTATGTTAATTAGACTCAGAGACACACTCATCCATAAATATAAAAATGGACAAACTTTTTAAGTTTTTTCCTTCGATTGTATCTGCAAAGAATTAGTACAATTTTTATTGCATGACTTAGTACTAAGCAAAACTTTGTAGCTCTAAAATATAATGTTTAATAAAGCCCATACCAGAGACAATATGGAACTTACAAGTTACAACTAAGAAATTTACAAGTTTAAAAAGAAATCCCAAACTAAAGTTAAATCAGACTATAAGGACAAACAATCAGCAAGAAGTAGAGAACCTGGGTGGGGCTATTTGTTAGAAAGAATCCGTTTTTCCTCCTTAACAGGCTATGCCGGTTATATCCTCTGATTTAGTAGCTTCTTCAAATAGTGAGGACTGAAGAAAGCAAGACGCAGAGCAGTTCGTAGAAGCAACAATGGAGCAACCATCAAAATATATACAAATACTAACCTGCATGTAAACAATCCAACAGGAAAAATTCAAAATTTGAAGAAAACCAAATCAAATTTATCAAAATCATATCACCAAAAAAATGAGTGCAAGAAAGAAAGAAGGAGAATGAAGTAAAATCTAGCAGAAATTTACAAGTACAATAGTTAGCTTATACAGTTTCACAATTTAAAAGATTGAAGAACAAAAAAAAGCAGAAGAGAGTTGAGAGACTCACTGAAAGATGATATGCAAGTTGTGAAGTACAGCTATAGATTATTATAAATATAAGTGCAGTATACATCATTTGCTAAAAGTAGGTGCCACACGTGTCTCTCTTAGCAGACATGAAATTTATACTTAATTTACACCTAGGCTCTAAAGTGGCAGACACTTTAAGTCTAAAGTGGCAGACACTCACAAATAAAGAGGGTCTTCTAATTGTAAATTGTGAAGTAATGCTATAGATTTATAGTTAAATAAATATAAGTGCAGTACATATTTGCTTAAAGTAGGTGGCACACGTGTTTCTCTTAGAAGACATGCAAAATTATCTATTTATACTTAATTTACACTTAAGCTCTAAAGTGCCATTTCTAAATACGTAGTGAAGAAAATCCTAAATGTATCCAAAGTCCGAACAACATTCGTACACCAAAAGTGCCATTTCTAAATAGTAGTAATATAATTACGTTGCCATCTACTCTATCTTTGTTAATTTTTTTGTGAACATAGTACATGCTTCCAGGTCCTATAAATACATATTTCTTTTTATTATTTGTAACGATCGGACTGATCGTTTTGCTTTCTAGAACTCCGTTCCCCTAAATAAAACTTTCTATACTTGCTTTTATTGATTTATGACTTGCGGGGATGATCGGTTCGGAATTTGGAAGAGTTTGGGTTTGTCATGACCCATTCCCCAATAGATCGTGATGGCGTCCAATACCATTGTCAGGCAAGCCGACAAGGAAATATAATTAAGTTCTCATTTTACTTTCACCAAAATAAGTGGAATAATTCCTTAAGTTAAAGTTAAAACCAGAAATGAACAGTAATGTGCCAAAAATAATCATACAACCCCAAGATAAAAGTCTGCTAAGGTGTGTGCCAAGACCTGGTGTCACAAGTAGTGGGCAACTAGCAGAATGTACAAAAGAATAAAACTATCCTACTGTCCGAAACAGAATAGACGCAAAAGTAAAGAAAGACTACATCAAGCTGCTGAACGGCACGGGAAGGGGCAGCTCACCGTGGAAGTTTCGGACTATCAATCAGGGGCGCGCACCAGACTGGTAGTCAGATGTACCTGCCTCAGATCCTGTACATTAAGTACAAAAGTGTAGTATGAGTACATAAATAATATGTACCCCGTAAATATCCCGTCTAATCTCGAAGAAGTAAAGACGAGAGGTTGACTTGATACTTACTAAGGTCAAATAATATAATAAAGTGTCACGCTAAGCATGGGGGTCACAATTACTCAACAGTTTATGGCAAGAGGTAATAAGTCATGTTCTTAACCATTTTATAGTTAGCAATTTATATTTCAAATATTTAGCAGAACAAGTCATGAATAAGATTTCACATAGATATCATGTGCACATTATGCCGAGGTCGACGGCCCGATCCAACAGAAAATAAACTGTGCACTGCTAGATGGTCGAATGACGCGAACCATAGATGCATCTATTTTTACCGAGGCGATCGGCCAAATCCACAAATATCAATTAATATCAAGAAAACACATGAAGGCACCTTTATTTTCAAAGAACGACACCGCCGACCTTATAAAGCCTCAAAAGGAGCCATCTTAAAGCTGGACTAATAGTTGTTGTTGTAAGTAAACTCTGCCAATGGCAAGAATTGATCCCACTGCCCTCCAAAGTCAATCACACATGCTCTAAGCATGTCCTCCAAGATCTGGACTGTCCGCTCCGACTTCCTGTCGGTCTGTGGATGAAATGTTGTGCTAAGCTCCACGTGGGTCCCCAACTCACCCTGAATAGCTCTCCAGAAATGAGAAGTGAAATGAGGGCCTCTGTCTGATATGATGGAAACAGGCACACCGTGCAACCAGACTATCTCCCGGATGTAAATCTGAGCCAGTCTCTCCGAAGTGTAAGTAGTCACAACCGGTATAAAGTGTGACGACTCGGTCAACCTATCCATGATGACCCACACTGCATCAAACTTCAGCAAGGTCCAGGGCAAGCTAACTTCAAAATCCATAGTAATGCGCTCCCACTTCCACTCTGGTATAGACATCTGCTGAAGTAGGCCACCCGGCCTCTAGTGCTCGTACTTGACCTGCTGGTAATTCAAACACCTAACCACATACTCCACTATGTCTTTCTTCATCCTCTGCCACCAATAATGATGCCTAAAGTCATGATACATCCTCATGGCACCCAGATGAATGGAATACCGTGAATTGTGTGCCTCCTCTAGTATCCTCTCCCTCAAACCATCAACATTAGGAACACATAGGCGACCCTGGAGTCACAAAACACCATCCTTGCCAATAGAAACCTCCTTAGCACTACCCTGAAGCACTATCTCTCTGAGATCTGCCAAACGTGGATCATCAAACTGTCGGGCCTTGATCTGCCCCAATAATGAAGACTGAGCAACCACGCACGCAAGAACTCGACTGGGCTTTGAAATATCCAACCTCACAAGTCTGTTAGCCAAGGACTGGATGTCCAAAGCTAGTGGCCTCTTCTCCACTGGTATGAACGCCAAGCTACCTATACTCTCTGCTTTCCTGCTTAAGGCATTCGCGACCACATTTGCCTTGCCGGGGTGATAAAGAATGGTGATGTCATAATCCTTCATAAACTCAAGCCATCTACGCTGCCTCAAATTGAGATCCCTCTACTTGAACAAGTGATGTAAGCTGCGATGATCAGTATAAACCTCACATGATACCCCCTACAGATAATGCCTCCATATCTTAAGAGAATGAACAACCGTGGCCAACTCCAAATCGTGCACAGGATAATTCTTCTCATGGATTTTCAGATGACGCAAAGCATATGCAATAACTCGCCCCCCTGCATCAATACACACCCCAATCCGACGCACAAAGCGTCGCAATATACCGTATACACCCTTGTGCCGGAAGGCAACACAAGAACTGGTATTGTAGTCAAGGTTGTCTTGAGCTTCTGAAAGCTCGCCTCGCAATCATCAGACCAATGGAAGGGAGTACCCTTCTGGGTCAATCTAGTCAGAGGTGATGCAAAAGATAAAAAGCCATGCACGAATCGTCTGTAATAACTTGCTAACCTCACGAAAATCCCGATCTCGGTCACGGAAGTAGGATACGGCCAACTCTGAACTGCCTCAATCTTCTTGGGGTCCACCTTAATACCCTCTCCTGACACAATATGCTGCCACTGAATCTATCCAGAACTCACACATGGAGAACTTAGCATATAGCTTCTGCTCTCGTAGGGTCTGAAGCACTACCCTCAAATGTTGTTTATGCTCCCCCAAGCTACGGGAGTATATCAAGATGTCGTCAATGAAGAGAACAACAAGTGAATCAATGTAAGGCCTGAATACCCTGTTCATCAAGTCCATGAATGCTACTAGGGCATTAGTCAAGCCAATGGATATCACCAAAAACTCATAATGGCCATATCTAGTCCGAAATGCAGTTTTCGGAACATCCGAGTCCCGGATCTTCAGCTGATGATACCATGACCTCAAGTCAATCTTGGAGAACACCCTAGTACCCTAAAACTGGTAAAACAAATCATTGATACGAGGCAACAGATACTTGTTCTTGATGGTGACTTTGTTCAACTGGCGGTAATCAATGCACATCCGCATAGTCCCATCCTTCTTCTTCACAAATAACACTGGTGCACCCCAAGGCGATACACTGGGTCTAACAAACCCCTTTGCTAACAACTCATCAAGTTGCTCCTTCAACTCTTTAGGAGCCATACGGTACGGTGGGATAGATACAGGCTGGGTGCCGGAGCTAAATCAATATCACAATCCGGCGGCATGCCAGGAAGATCAGAAGGAAACACATTAGCAAACTTTTGAACTACTGGAACTGAATCAATTATCGGAGACTCTGCGGTGGTGTCCCGAACATAAGCTAGATAAGCCAAACACCCCTTCTCGACCATATGTCGAGCCTTCAGGAAAGAGATAACCCGACTAGATGTATCAACTGTGGAACCCTTCCACTCCAACCTCGGCAACTCTGGAATTGCTAATGAAACAGTCTTGTCATGACAATCTAGGATGGCGTGATATGGAGATAACTAATCCATGCCCAGGATAGCCTCAAAATCAATCAGATAAAGCAATAGGAGATCCGCTCTAGTCTCAAAACCACAGAATGTGACCACACAGGACCAGTAGATCTGATCCACAACCACAGAATCGCCCACAGGAGTGGACACATGAATAGGAGTGCCCAAAGGCTCAGGAGAAATAACCAGGAAACGAGCAAACAGAGATGATACATATGAATAAGTAGACCCTGGATCAAATAACACCGAAGCATCCCTATCGCAGATGGAAATGATACCTATGATGATGGCATCTTGAGGCCAATGCATCTGGCCCAGCCAGAAGGGCATAAAATCTGGCTAGAGCGCCTGCTGGCTGACCTCTCCCTACATGGCCTCCACCTCTAGGACGACCCCTACTAGTCTGCCCTCCACCTCTAGGTGGCGGGGCAGCCAGTGCTGAAATCATAAGCTGCTGACTCTACTATACTACCTTGCCCCGAAGCCTGGGGTAGTATCTCCTCATATGACCAAGGTCTCTGCACTCGAAATATCCCCACAGTGTGGCAGCCTGCTGCCCTGATGACTGACCCAAATGGCCTGTAAACCCACTGGAAGAAGCCTGGATAGCCGGTGGATGGTATGAACTCTCCGGCATAGCACTAAAATAGGAATCAGAAGAACCCTGAGGACTTGAATACCCACCAGAGGAACCCTGAATAGCTGGCGGGCGATAAGAACTCTCTGGTATGACGCTGAAATAGGGGCGTGCCGGAGCACCCCGAGCAGGTGGCAGTGCTAAATATGGGGGCCTGCTGGGCTGACCCCTCCCA